AGGTCCCTCTTTTAGCCCTTCTCCCCCATACCTCGAGCAATCTGCTCATAGATATCCACGTTTCTATGGCTGGAGCAGAGCTGTGCCTGCACAGCCTCTTATCCCAACAGACCCAAGAGATCCACCATTTCCTGTGTACACCAGGCAGTAGTGCGTCTGCAGCATGGAGCCAGCATAGTCAGCTAGGCAGTTGTTAGGTGAGCTCTCCACACCAAGCAAACAGGAAATAGAATTTCAAAAATTTGAGTTGCTTTAAAAGGAGAGGGGCGTGTATCTGTGTACTGGGCAGCCGGAGGGGTCATGGTGGGGAGTTATGGGACTCCTCCTGAAGGCTACTAAAGTCAACGTATGTAATGCAGTGCCTACTGCATCATCCTAAGCACTGTTAAGTCAGCATAGTGACCAAGTTACATCGGCAGGAACGACATTTTAGTTTAGATGCTTACAGAGTTAGGTTGATCGTAAGCTGCCTTGCATCGACCTAGCTCTGTAGTGTAGGCCAGACCAAAACACAGATATTGGCAACCGTGTACTGTGAAACACTGGGACACTGTACGACAATCCAATTGCTGGATGTACCCAGTACATTGTTCAGCAGTTAGATTATAATAATTTGACTTTGAAGCCAACATCCCCTAAGGAACAGAAAAAGAGGAAGGTAGGAAAGAGAGGGAGTATGCTCAAAATTTTATTCCCTGAACCTAGTTTAAAAAGAGTATGACTGCACAGTGGAGAAACAGAATTATTTACAAAAATTCCAAGCTACAAAATTTCATACCAGCCTATCTAACAAAGCCACTTTAAAAAAAAATTACCTCTCCTCACTCAGGCAAACCACATTAACTGGAATCAGTTTTAAAAATAGTTAAGTTTCAGCACTGAGAAAACCTAGGTCTGCCTACAGACTCATAACAGTGTCTCAGTTTACTTTGTAAAGACACTTTAAAATGAAAACCCAGATCTGAAATGCACCAAGATTTTCAACAAGGCCTAAAACCCACAATTTCCAAAATGTACAGCTTTGAAACCCTAGATTCATAACCAAGGGCAGAAAACAAAAAGCTGAAGATTAGGGTTTCTTTTTTCTGAAGAATCCTACTAAACTTTGTTCTGGTATGTTGTAAAGATACAGCTATAAATTAACATTAAAAAGCAGAGAAAAGAACCAAAATTTGATTCAGTGAGGCGAGTCATTTTATGCACTAATTTACACCTGACTCAAAGCATAATATGTTATTTTTAAACTCAGCTATAGTGTGAAGTGTTGCTAATCAGTTTCACAGGTCACCTACAACTCAGGATTCCAAGATTACTTATTTCAATCTGCATGTGGCATATAAGGGCAAGTTAAAAAAAATATATTAGGATTTTCTCCATAGAAAAAAAGTTATTCCACTAGGTAGCTGACAAATGTTAACAGTAACAGCTGGCCTACCTACAGCATTGCACTACTTTAAACATAAAATTAATTTTGACATCACACCTTAATTAAACCAATACAAAAGACTATGTGGACAGTTATTTAGTTTAAACCAAACTTTTCAGTTTACCTTAAATTAATTAAGAACAGGTTTGAGCTAACCCAAAATAATTCACTCTTAAATCAAAATAAGAGGGTCCCCACAGGGATTCAATGTTTAATTAAAATAGATTAACTAAACCAGTGCAAATGTATGTATAGGCAAGGCCTAATACTGGGTGAGTTTTTGCAATATGCCATGACTTGCACACATATTAAATATGAAAATGGTTGTATACATTCCTAACTGAAATAATCTTAACAAAATGTAAAGAGGAGTAAAAATATTGGCCATGGTTCAGTAAAAATAAGTGCCAACAATGGACACCTGGGGAAATAAATAAGGTCTATTTCTACCACCCACTTTGGCTCAAACAATGTTTCAGTTGGTTGTGTGTGACATGTTACTTAGATGAATATTCAGAGACTCCTTCCTAGGCTGAAGAAGTATTAGCAGTTGTAACTCATTAATGATAAAGCAATATAGAACTCAAGTGGCAATTACCATCTCCACTGGAAAACTGGTCATAAACAAGAGTGCATAATTTGCAAGTGATCTTCTGATCTTATTATGACGTAGAATTCCCTTTTTTTATTTAGCATTTAAGGCATAATTTCCAGTTCAAATTATAAAGGATGATATAGGAATGTAAATAGAAGGGTAAAAAAACTGTAGAAATTATTTGAATACATAAGCCTCCACCCCTCAAAAAATGTATAACTACAAAAAAAGATTTTTCACCCCACAAGATGCATTTTGTTTACAGTTTTTGTTAGTTTTAGTTATCACTATATAGGCAGACTGAACCAGTGGTACTGTTGAATGCTCAAGTATTTACAATGGATATAGGAGTTGCATATTGTCATGGGTCCTCCAGTACTTTTCTTTCCTCCTCAAGCACAAAACTCATGCAAAATCACCACCCTTATAGCCAGCTGTAGCCCAGTGCCTTTAGAAAAGCATAGGAGACATAGTATCTAAGGGAGTCTTTCCCTAAGACAGAGAAATAAGAATTCAAACAGGACCAAAGAGGAAGAACAAGAAAAATCTTTTTCTTTCAATGTCCCCAAAGCCAGAGAGGGACAAAAAAGGGAGGGAAATAGAGAATTGGTATCTCTAGATGAAAATGTCAGAGAAGATCACACACAAGAACAAACCACACTAAAGTGTTAGAATCACACACATCCAACACTCCTCAGTTTGAAAGAATGGAGACAGGTGATGAGGAGAAAAAGCCACTCCACTTGCCATTAATGAAACTCATTATGTGGCCTTATAATACAGAAGACAGAAGTGATTTCCAGTTATACTCACTGAACTAGCAAGAAATCTTGAGATGACATGTTTGTTTTGGGGATGAGGTGGCAAGCATACCTCACATCTTTTAGGGAATGTTTCAAAGCAAGTAGTCATCCTCAAAGAAGGATTGAAAAAAAAAATGGAGAAGAGTTAGAAACTGGATTGACAGAGTTCATATCACCGGAGAGCAACAATGGAGTTTAGCAAAATCAAAGCTCTGAGGAAAGAATACAAGAATGAGGATTGTTCATGTCTCATCTTAGTCTTGTTCTAGACTCATATCAATATATGTACAGGTATTCTATTAAGAGAACAGTTAATTCTTATCTCAATCATCCACTTTAATCAACGAGAATAGAAGTATAAACTAGAGACAACAAAGTGTGTTAATTTAGGAAAATATTTATATGTAAGTAGACATACAAGGTTATAAATTGCCAAGGAGTTAAAGAATGGCCATCACTAAAGGGTTTAATATCTTCTCTAGTCTTGAAAATATCAGAGATGCTTGAGAAATAATTAAGTCCTTCCTGATTAGGTGGAAGAGGGAAGAAAAATCAAAGGATTAAGTCTTGTAAAATTACCATAAAAGCTTACCAGCCCAGGACATCTACTTACTCAAACCAGAATACTAATGATAAAAAAAAAAGTTATTTTTTAAATCTGTACTGAAAATGAGTTACTCACACTTGAGGAGCAAAGTTTTGCAAGGCTTGATTAGTTGGCATAGAGATTTCTTAAACCCAAATGATTTTATGTAAGTGAGTAGAAGAGAAGAGAATCCACAGAACTGTCAGGGACAGTTGCATTTCAATGCACACTACGGAAGAGAAAGACGGCGAGAACCCAAGGCCAGTGACAGCTGGAAAACCTGGAACAGTACTCTCAAACTTTCCTACAGAGAAATAAAAAAAGACCTAAGTGGGCATTGGATAACCTAGAACGTCCCAAATGAGGGAGCAGAAGGAAGTGTCTATCAGATCCAGCTAACATATCTTCAGAATAAGGGTTTTCACCTTTATTTTTTTCTTAGTAATAACTTCTGAAAAGATTGAATAGAACATGAAACATGTTTATGTGCCTGTATCTGTATTGCAGAGAATGTGTTTGGGGGATAATTATCCTACTATTTGTCTATATTATGATAAATATATGGCACTATATATATTAAAACAGGGTGATTGTAACCTCAAGCTTCAAGGTATAAACTATGCACTGTAGGTAGGGCTCAAGAGAATTTTATTTACCAATGTACATTTTATTATGCCATTAGCTATGTAAATTTTGGGATGGTATATTTTTACATTCCTTTGAAGCAACAAGTGCTGGTTACCAGCTCCCAGGAGTTATGGCAATACAAATTAATAATAATCAGACTTGCTGGAGCAATAACCCAACCCTATATGGTTAAATATACACTATGTTCCTATGCCAAGCTCTTTTTCTCCAACCTCCAATTTTTCAAAGGTAGAAGATGGATTTAAGAAAATCCAAGATGTACACAGTTTCTCTTCTAATAGCTATTTTCAGACTTGCGGAGATCACCCAAAATAAGAAAGAACATATGAAGAAATAGTGATGTTCTAGATCAGCCTTTGCCATGAGATAAATAAGTGCTTGTTCTCAGTGTTGTCTCTTTTTACCCATCAGAGACAGGCAGCAACCTCATGTTACTGAGACAGTCTTGTGCTTGGGACTGTAGCCTCCTTCCCACCCACCCTTTAGAGGTGGAACAAGATCCTGAAGCACATTCTTATCTGTGCTCAGTATCCCTGCCTCCCCACACCTCAGTAGGCAACCTGTTCCTAAAACAAAGCCTTGCCTGTTCTCAGGACCCCTGCACCCTACCTCGGAGGGCATCGTACCCCAGAGAGAAAGCCCTCCCTGCAATGGGCAGCGCGCTGCCCAGCCTCCCCTCCTGCTCCCCACCCCAAGAGAGCTATTTCTGGGACAACTTTAGCCTCGTCTCCCAGACTCCCACGCCGGTGTGGGGAGCACCTCCCTGCCTGCGCTCCCCACGCAAGGTGCCTAGGCCGACCCCCACTGCGGGGCCCCCCGGACTGGCCCCAGAGCATCAGGCAGCAACTTGCAGTCACCCAAGCAGGGGAGAGTTGGGGCGCGGTGCATGCTGGGAGTTGGAGTCCCCCCCGGCGCTGAGGCCAAACGCGCTGTGCAGCAGGATAGACTCCCGCTCCCACAATGCACCGGGCTCGTTCCCCTTCACAGCCCGTTTCTCCCGCACCGGGCTGACACTGAACCCGTTAAATTACCGCCGGTGGAACGAGCCGCAAGGCGGCGCCCGGACGGGACCCCCCTCCCAGCACGCCCGGCACCAGAGTGGGACCCTGCGGGGCCGGGGCCGGACTCGGGGCTCCTGGGCAAGGTTGGAGAAACTGCGTCACAGCCTCTGTCAGCGCCCGGGGTAGTGGCACAACCTGCTCCCTAGCACAATTTCCGATGCCGCAGAGCCGGCACCGGCCTGCCCCCCGCCCCCGGCACTTGCGGGATCCCCCCAACCTTCCCCCGCCGGCCCAGCCGGCCCCGCCGCGGCTCTCAGGTGCGGGGCGGTCTCACGGGCTCCCATCAGATGCCCCCGCAAATGCCCCCAAAAGGCCCCACGCGGCCCCCGTCCCACGGGCTTCCCCCCTCGGGCCCCAGGCAGCGCCCCCAGGACGGGCTGCGCGAACCCCCCCCCTCCCGAGCCGCGCCACCCGCAGGCAGAGACCCCCGCAGCCTGCTCCCTGCGGGCGCCCCGCAGCAGGATGCCCGGCCCGGCCGCTACTCACTGACAGCGGCGGCATCCGAGTGCATTTTCGTGCAGCGCACACACTGCCCGGCCGGGCTCTCTCTGTCTCGATCTCCCAATCACAGAGCCCAGGCACTGGGCCTCCTGCCCCGCCCACACATGGACGCCATTGGCTCGGGCTGGCTTGCGCTAACGCCTGCCTCACTGCGCCATTAGGCCACGCGCCTGTCATTCCCCCGTGCCTGGCCCACACCACGTGATACGGCTACCTCCACCGTCCTATTGGTTATAGTTATCAACGATTACCGCCTCCCCGCCATACCGATTGGGCTTTGCCTATGTCAATTATTTCTGGCTCTGAAAGCGCGTGCAAAGAACACTACTTTGTGTCTCCCGTGAATCTGATTGGTCCTAGAGGCTATGGACCACGCCCACGGCCTGTTGTCATTGGTTAAGGGGAGCAGAGTAAAGACCAGAGGCTCGCAGTGAATGGGGTTGGGTCAGGTAGGCTGGGTGAGGTAGCGCAGAAGATGTGGAGCTGGTCGTGGTTCACCCCTAGGCTGGTCTAGCTGGGAGTTGTGCAGAGATGTCCTGCGAGAGGCTGTTGAGAGCTGACCTCCCTGCAGCAGCCCAAGGAAAGGCTGCAAGGGGAAGAACAGGCTTCCACCGCAGAAGCAGAGAATGGGCTGGGGAAGCAGAACTAGCTAGGGTGACCATATGTTCCATTCTGGCTGAAAGCCGGGACAGCCCCTTTTTTAAGTCCTGTCCAGGGCAGGGCCGGCTCTGGCTTTTTTGCTGCCCCAGGCAAAAAAGCC